ATAAGGGCCCCAGTGCACGTTTCACCGGGAACCCCTTTACATTTCTGTGCAGCTCGGCGTCATTCCTATCGCGGCGCTGGATTAGAACTCCGCCTCTTGTTTGCGGATCGAGCTGCTCACGCCCAGTGTTGGTGCGTCCAGCCGCGCGCTCTTAGACTGACGCATGCAGCAGTTTGGATGCGCTGCGTGCAGGGTGCGGTGATCGACTTCACTGTTTTTTCATTGCTGTCGTGTAGATGGCCCTCCATGCAGAATGCCGAGCGCACCCCATGTGGCCTGGCCCCCCCCCCCATAACAGCACATAAACCAATTGTAGAAGCCGAGTGCAGAGCTGCTGTCACATGACCGAGGGCTGGCTGCAGGGTGCCTGGTCATGTGACCTCTCGTCCTCTTCCACCAAATCAGATTCAAACTTGAACGGCAAATAATATCTTGAAGCTGATTGGTTGTGGAGCTCCAATGAGGGACATGGACGGGTCCGCATCCAAAATGTAACAAAATGTCTCTAATGTGCCCCAATAATGTGCTGCCGATAAGATTCTATGAGGGGGGAGGGGAGTTGGTGCCGTGTCTCACAAGTGGTTTTGTAGCAGCGCTTTGTATATCAGAATTATATCAGATTTGCAGCTTGATGTGACTGCGGCGGATGCCGGTCACAGACACGGCCTGAGCCGTATCCCCTCCATGCGCGACCGCTGTTTCCTCCTCTCGGCTCTCATCAGTGCGAGATTTGGGGGGGTCTCTGTATCATTCCTGACGTCTGTGTTTCCTCTTCCAGGATATTTGGGGTACACCAGCGGATTCTCCCTCAGCTGCATGGTGTTCTTCCTGTGCTCGGTGAGTGACCAGTATACACATACGCCGTGATGTCACCGTGACATATATATACAGCTCTATGAAGCGACGCACAATGCGATGCAGAGTCCTCGGGGGCGGCTCCTCGGCTGGAACGTTCCATTATTATCGGTCTGAATATAGAAACTTTGTATATTAAATATTTATATGATGAACAACAACCAATCGCACCGCCACTCTCGCCACTCGGGCGGGGGAGGGCGGGGGGGGGGCATTTCCTCTCTCGGCCTCGTATCAGATTTGCAGCTTGATGTGACTGCGGCGGATGCCGGTCACAGACACGGCCTGAGCCGTATCCCCTCCATGCGCGACCGCTGTTTCCTCCTCTCGGCTCTCATCAGTGCGAGATTTGGGGGGGTCTCTGTATCATTCCTGACGTCTGTGTTTCCTCTTCCAGGATATTTGGGGTACACCAGCGGATTCTCCCTCAGCTGCATGGTGTTCTTCCTGTGCTCGGTGAGTGACCAGTATACACATACGCCGTGATGTCACCGTGACATATATATACAGCTCTATGAAGCGACGCACAATGCGATGCAGAGTCCTCGGGGGCGGCTCCTCGGCTGGAACGTTCCATTATTATCGGTCTGAATATAGAAACTTTGTATATTAAATATTTATATGATGAACAACAACCAATCGCACCGCCACTCTCGCCACTCGGGCGGGGGAGGGCGGGGGGGGGGCATTTCCTCTCTCGGCCTCGTGTTTCCTGTGATTCTCAGCTTTATGCAGGACTGCGGCATGCTGGGACTTGTAGTTCAGGGGAAGTGACCTTTCAAGTGTAACTTAGATTAGTACGGAGCGGTGACGGGTTAGAACCCCTGCCAGGCTCTTATTGTTCTCTGTTAGGGAGATTCACTCTGTCCAAGGGCACGCACGTTCACACCAGTGTCATGCGTTACAATGTGATGCGTTGCCATTCATTTGAATGGCACCTCCCAGCCGCGATGTGCTTGACTGCGCCGCAACACGCAGTGCCGCCATACCAAGTGGCGCGGCTTATAAAAGCAGCGCATGTGCGTGCGATGAACACATGGGCATTGGCGTGAAGAAGCCCCGATGGTCCCGGTCAGCAGAGTCTCCGCGAATCAGTGCGTCGGGAAATCCAAAACTTGTGTGTTGCCGCTAGAACTGGAATAGAGGGGAAAACTTCCAATGGGGGGGGCGGGGTTTGTTCCCATGACAACTGTCTAAGGGGGATTTCCCTCACAATGGAAAGACATTATTTAACTTCCTGTTGGGTGCAAAGGACAGGAAGTGAAGGGAAATCTCTCAATTATTGTAAAAAAAAAAAAACTCGGCGCTTTCCCGCTACGATAACCGGAATGTACATCCTCAGGGTCGGGGTTAGACGGTCACTTACATTCGGTCTTTTATTTCTGTTTCACTTTCAGGTGATTTATAAAAAGTTTCAGATCCCGTGCCCCCTGCCGATGGACAACATCAACCAGACCCTGCTAGGGAACTTCAGCCTGCCCAGCGAGTACGCTTATCAGAACGGTCACGCCACCGCGGAGTCAGACGTGGGACAATGCACGCCCAAACTCTTCACCCTGAACTCCCAGGTACCGGTCACATGACTTCCACAATGTATCCGTGTCACCGGACTCCCAGGTACCGGTCACGTGACTTCCACCATGTATCCGTGTCACCGGACTCCCGGGTACTGGTCACGTGACTTCCACCATGTATCCGTGTCACCGGACTCCCAGGTACCGGCCACATAACTTCCACCATGTATCCATATCACTAGACTCCCAGGTACCGGCCACATAACTTCCACCATGTATCCATATCACTAGACTCCCGGGTACCGGTCACGTGACTTCCACCATGTATCCGTGTCACCGGACTCCCGGGTACTGGTCACGTGACTTCCACCATGTATCCGTGTCCCCGGACTCCCAGGTACCGGTCACGTGACTTCCACCATGTATCCGTGTCACCGGACTCCCAGGTACCGGTCACATGACTTCCACAATGTATCCGTGTCACTGGACTCCCAGGTACCGGTCACATGACTTCCACAATGTATCCGTGTCCCCGGACTCCCAGGTACCGGTCACATGACTTCCACAATGTATCCGTATCACTGGACTCCCAGGTACCGGTCACATGACCTCCACAATGTATCCGTATCACTGGACTCCCAGGTACCGGTCACATGACTTCCACAATGTATCCGTGTCACCGGACTCCCAGGTACCGGTCACATGACTTCCACCATGTATCCGTATCACTGGACTCCCAGGTACCGGTCACATGACTTCCACAATGTATCCGTATCACTGGACTCCCAGGTACCGGTCACATGACCTCCACAATGTATCCGTATCACTGGACTCCCAGGTACCGGTCACATGACTTCCACAATGTATCCGTATCACTGGACTCCCGGGTACCGGTCACATGACTTCCTGCGCGTCATAGAAACTGAAACATTTCATTTCAAAAGTTTTCTTCACTCTTTTCAAATCTTCAGCTTTCAATAAAAAAAAATCCCCTTGGTGATCCCGCCATCAGGGGCCTTGGTCAGACACTTCCTGTGATAGGGTGACAACGCTCTGTCCCCTTGGTGATCCTTCCATCAGGGGCCTTGGTCAGACACTTCCTGTGATAGGGTGACAACGCTCTGTCCCCTTGGTGATCCTTCCATCAGGGGCCTTGGTCAGACACTTCCTGTTATAGGGTGACAACGCTCTGTCCCCTTGGTGATCCTTCCATCAGGGGCCTTGGTCAGACACTTCCTGTTATAGGGTGACAACGCTCTGTCTCCTTGGTGATACTTCCATCAGGGGCCTTGGTCAGACACTTCCTGTTATAGGGTGACAACGCTCTGTCCCCTTGGTGATCCCGCCATCAGGGGCCTTAGTCAGACACTTCCTGTTATAGGGTGACAACGCTCTGTCCCCTTGGTGATCCCGCCATCAGGGGCCTTGGTCAGAAACTTCCTGTTATAGGGTGACAACACTCTGTCCCCTTGGTGATCCCGCCATCAGGGGCCTTGGTCAGAAACTTCCTGTTATAGGGTGACAACACTCTGTCCCCTTGGTGATCCCGCCATCAGGGGCCTTGGTCAGAAACTTCCTGTTATAGGGTGACAACACTCTGTCCCCTTGGTGATCCCGCCATCAGGGGCCTTAGTCAGACACTTCCTGTTATAGGGTGACAACGCTCTGTCCCCTTGGTGATCCCGCCATCAGGGGCCTTATTCAGACACTTCCTGTTATAGGGTGACAACGCTCTGTCCCTGCCTTCCTGTGTTGTCACACGGGCTACCAATGAAGACTACAAGTGGTCATTTCAGCACACATTACGCAGACCTGGCCCACTGTTGTCACCATCGGGAAGCCAGTTTAGAGCAATGATGTGCGGTACTGAAATGGGTTCTGGTTCTTGAAGCAATTGGCTGACATCTGTCTCCCCCGTACCTGCGCTGAACCTGTATATGATGTGTCCAGTATACATTCCGTGTCATTGATATCCCCCCCTCCCCCTCTCTCTCTGCAGACAGCGTACACGATCCCCATCATGGCGTTTGCCTTCGTCTGTCACCCGGAGGTCCTTCCTATATACACCGAGCTGAAAGAGTGAGTATACATGGGCAGAGCCGTGCACATGTGTCCCCAGTGCCGTCACTGTCATTGCTGGACTATCGGGCGGCACGAGGAGCAGAGGCGTGTCTTCCCCCCGACTAATCAGAAAAAAAACCTGCAGATAGCAAAGAAGCTATTGCTTCCTGTGCTATCTGCCATCATTTTAGGGGGGTGCTCTCTCCCAGCCCCCCTAACCCCCCTCCGCGGATGGGGGGGGGGGGGGGGGGGGGGGGCAACTCCGGCCTTCCAGCTGTGGTGGAACTACAAGTCCCATGAGGCATTGCAAGACTGTGACAGCCACAGGAGCATGACTCCCAGAGGCAGATGGAGGATGGGATTTGTAGTTAATGCACAGCTGGGGGACCAAAGTCGCCCCCCCCCCTGCTCTAGAACATGGAGGAATCCTTGAAATAACTTTTCAGGTCGAGAATAATAATTATGATATATACAGTATATGAGCGAGAGGAGTAGATATAAGGAATGTGGCCCCGGGGCCCGCTCTATACCACCACATTATCCTCAGTATAATAATTCTAATGGGCGGCACAGAGCCGCAGGCGGTGTGCGCTCCCTGACACTGGTGGAGGGCGAAAAGTGACATCTAAAGCCGCCTATAATCTGTACTGAGTGTTGCCCTGCTGGGACTCCCCCCCTAGTGCCCCCCCCCCACCTATAATCTGTACTGCGGA